CTTGTCCCCACCCTAAGTCATGGATATTTTGCCTCCCCCCCCCCCCTTTCTCGGGGAGGGGATTCCTTTCATGGTTGAACACAAGGCTTTTGTTGGATCCCCACCCACCCCCCCTTTTCAGGATATTTCTAGATGTAAAGAACCACCTTAGTAACATTCTGCAAGGCAGACCAGTTTTTTTAAAAAGAGGGTTGGCTTCTGTTCTGGCACCAACACAGGAAGTTATGAAATTATAGGAAGTTAGCACCAACCTGTCTCCTAGAGAAATTGAATATTTTAAAAAATATTAAAAGGACAGAATATTTTCTCTAAATGAGAGACCGAAACTTGACTCCCCTCCACCTTTGTCAATGAGCCATTAAGGCCAGTCTATTCTACATAACAAAGATCTCCCCCTTCAGCTCCAGGGTGATGGGGTGAAGGCATGCTAGTATTGGCCCTTTACCCATCTCCCCACAGGGCACCTGGGAAGATGACATCATCACCTAGCAAATCAAGTAAGCCTGGGAGGCAGCCTAGAGAGTTGCCCCTGCAGGGCCCCGTGGGGGTCTGACAACCAATCAGAATACAAGCTCAAGTTCAAAGCCCAGAGAGGGCATAAACCAGGAACTTTCAACATTTCTGCCCTTTTTCTTCTTCACCCAATATCTTGGAGCATGTCATCACCTTTTTCCCCCAGGAGGACCTCACACCACGTGGTCCTGTCCACAATTAAACCATCTTTCCAAGCAGCCTCCGTGTTTCCAGTGTCTTTTCCCCCACTTGGAGCCGAACCCAGTCACTTCCGGTTTGCCCATAGGGCCAGTCTTTTGCGCTCCGGAGGCTTCACGGAAGCTCTTGAAGCCTCCGGAGGGCCTGGGGGGTGGGGGGAGAGGCTGTTACCACCCCAGGGTCCTATGAAGCTGCTGGAGCCTGGGGAGGGTGAAAAAAGCATGCAAAAAATGAGGGGGAGTGCCGGTCATGCGCACATGTGCAGTGGGGGGGTCACACATTGCATTATGGGTGCGGCATGCCTACACATGACCCCCCCTGCTCTCCCCCTCTTATGGCACGCGAGCCAAAAACGGTTCGGCATCGCTGGCTTAGACTGCTCCGAGTCCAAAGCAATTTACTCTTTTCAGCTAACAATGCACCAAGGTGGGGGCTTTCTGACTCCCAGAGTTCGCTGGGTGCCTCTGGGCTGCTCCTTCCTCTCAGAGTATGGGCAGTGGGGGTGGGGGGGGGAGGTCTGAATGAGGGAGAGAAGTAGCAAGAGCCGCTTCTGATTGGTTTATGTGCTTGTTCTGAAAGAGTTTCTTCGGTGTGCCAAGTACACCCATGACTCGAGATCCAGAAGGACCTTGAGAGAATTGGGCCCTGGGCGCCCCAGGTGCAGTTGAGTGGCGAGGAAAGGCAGGGGGGAAAAACTCCAAATGCCTAGATACAAATTAGGGGGTACTGGCGAACGAGGGCTGTACCAACCAAGGAACAGTGTTGAGATGGCGAGTCATGAAGATGCTGCTTTCTATGGCACTCGTGAAGCCACGCGTGAAATCCTGTGGGCATTTCTGGTCACCACGCTAGGAAAAAGACGCAGAGGCCCTCGAAAGCATAATTAACCAGGCCTCTGCCTGCCAGACCTGGAGGTTTTCACAAATAAACTGGACAACCAGAATCAGAATCGAGCTGATGAGAATTGAAAAAGAAGTTTTCAAAAAATTGCAAGCGTTTGCAGATGATTTAATGTTTATTATGGAGGACCTGATAGAAACGGACCCAACATTAATAGAACAAATAGGGGAATATGGAGAAGTATCAGGATTGAAAATTAATAAGGATAAAACAAAAACCCTAGTGAAAAACGTAACAGAAAAACAGAAAAAATAAATAACGGGGAAACTGGACATTCAAATATTGAAAAAGTGAAATATTTGGGTATCCAATTCACCTCAAGTTGTGTAACTATTAAGGAAAATAATTAAGCTGAGAAAACAAATTGAAATAGATGTGGAAAAATGGAGAAACTTACAACTATCATTAATGGTAAGAATAGCGGTAATAAAGATGAATATATTACCAAGAATTTTGTTTCTATTTCAAACAATACCAATAAAATTTGAGAAAAAATATTTTGAAAATTTGTGGTAAAGGAAAAAGCAAGAATTAACATAAAAATGTTACAACATGGGGTTAAAGATACAGTGATAGTGCGAGCAAAATTTTTTGGTTATACAATTGAGTTAGAAAAATGGCAACTATTATGGGAAAGGAATTATAAATTAACAATGGCAACAGCATATAAAGAAAATGTGTATAACATGTTTTATAGATGGCATATGCCATCTGAAAGATTAGCAAAGACATTTAAAGATAAATCAGCGTAATGTTAGATATGTCATCAACTTCCAGGATCGTATTATCATATGTGGGGGACATGCCAAGAAGCAAGGACTTATTGGGTTAAAATAAGAACATACCGTATTTTTCGGAGTATAAGAAGCACCGGAGTATAAGACACACTAAGGTTTTGAAGAAGCAATACAATAGATAGGTAGGGGAGTAGATAGGTAGATGTTTCCAGGTGTATTTATCTATGTGCTGGAGAAGGAAATCGCTGACAATCTGCAGCACCTAAGACTTTGTTTCTGCTGGCACAGCACTTGATCAATATGTGATTCCCATCAATCAGTTAAAGAGCTCTCCAAAAGGGGAAAAAAAGGTTTTGCACTCTGCAAACCTCCCAAAAACAGCAAAAAAAGAGGCACAAATAGCCTTGGGGGGCATGGGGGGGGCAAAAATGAGCAAAATTCGCCTGTTTTTCATGAAAACGGGCCCATTTTTGGTCAAACAAATTGCATGGAAAGTCTTATGGAGGCTTATAGAGTGTTGCTGGGGGCTGGAGGAGACAAAAACAGCCCATTTTTTGCTCATTTGTGCCCTTCCCAGCCCCCAGGAGCTCTCTGAAAGCCTCCATAAGGGTATGCACAGCGATTTTGGTGAAGGGGACGGGGCTTCGGGAGGCAAAAAATGCTGTATTCAGTATATAAGACACCCTCAGGTTTTCAGCCTGTTTTTTGAGGAAAAAAGGTGTGTCTTATACTCAGAAAAATACGGTAGTTAGAGAAATGTTACAGTGAAGTATAAAGTTAAGACCTGAGACATTCTTATTGGATATCCTACCAGAGAAATATAACAAAGAAGATACATATTTGATTATACATGTAACAACTGCAGCTAGAAATATATTTGCACAAAATTGGAAAGTAGATAAGATCCCACCAGAAGGAGGGATAATAAAGAAAACCTGGGATTTTGCAGAAATGAATAGGTTAACGTTTAGAATAAAGGACAAAGAGGAATCGATGTACTTCAAGATGTGGGAAGATTTTATGATTGGTTAGAAAAAGAATATGAATAAGGAATATAGAAAAAGGGGGAAACAGAAGCCCAGACGACACACTATTAAACGGAAAAGGGGGAAGAGGGGGGAAATAGAAAGGCATTCATATACAAATATATGTTCAAAGGATGAGGTATGTGTAAATAATAGATTGGAAAATATAACGAGGAATGTAAAATGGTAAATGTACAGATAGGACTGGGTTTGCTGGAATATCACCCCCAAAATACACCAGATGGAAGAGGAAAATATGCAATCACAACAATAGAAAGAGGAAGAGGAAGAGAGGAAAGGTAGGAAGAGGAGAGGAGAAAAGAGGAAAGGGGAGGGAAAGAAGAAAGAGTAAAGGAGAGGAAGACAGGGAGGAGAAATAAGAGTAGAGAAAGGGTAGAAAGGGGAACAAGAGGAGAGGAAGGGAAAGAAGAAAAGGGAAAGGAGAGGAGGAAAGAAGAAAGTAGAGAAGAAAGGAGGGAGGGAGAAAAGGAAATAAAAGTAAGGTTGTGGTAAAACAAAATAGGCGTATGGGATGGTAAGCAAAGCAATCCCGATTAGATATTTCAATTTTTATATTGGAAAATGAATAATTAAAATTGTTAATACACAACGTTAATAACAACCATGAGAATGTATATTCTCAAATGTACGTATGAGATTTTAAAAAAAACTTATTTGAAAAAAAAATCAGTATAGATCTAGAAGGGACCTTGGAGGCCTTCTAGTCCAGCCCCCGGCTCAAGCAGGAGATTCAATACCACTTCAGACAAGTGATTGTCTAGTCTCTTTTTAATAACCTCCAGTGATGGAGCAACCACAACTTCTGGTGGCAAGCTGTTCCACTGGTTAATTGTCTTGGCTGTTCAAAAGTTTCTCCTCTTCTGCCTTGAACAGGGGGTTGGACTAGGTGGCCTCTGAGGTTCCTTCCAGCCCCAAGATCCCATGTTGTGTCTTCAGCTGATTGATTACAAAGTCTTCACACTGCAATAGGCTTTGAGTGTGAGCTCCACAAAGAAGGAAAACGCCAGAGAGAGAGAGAGAGAGGGAGGGAGGGAGGGAGGGAGGGAGGGAAGGAGGGAGAGAGAGAGAGAGAGAGAAGCTCCTTCCGCTCATAGCCAGAGCCTGAGTGGCACCCTGATCTGCCAAGACCTGCTTTTCTTTTCTCCAGGAATGTCAAAAGTCCTGGGCAGGGCCGAGACTCAAGGATCACCCAGATCCCGATCAACCCTAAGATGGAAGAGATTTAACGCTGGGCCTCATGACCAAGCCCAGCCCAAGGGGGGGGGGGGGGAGGAGGGAGGGAGAAACGCCTTTTTGGCAGCGCAGGAGCAGAGACCCGGCTGCTGTTGGCCCCTGGCATCCAGTGGACTGTGAGGCAGGGCTGCCAGCGGTGGGTGGGTGGGTCCTCAGGAGGAGGAGGAGGAGGAGGAGGAGGCTGTGTCAAGTCAGCATTTCCCAGTGACCCTTTGAGCCCAGTTCCAAGCTCCCAGTCCTCTCTAGGGAAGGACAGGCTGTTTTTCCTGCTGGGGATCAGCGGAAGGAACTTCCACCAAGGAGCATGAGGCTTTCGGGCACCTCCTGCGTCTTCCTCCTCTGGGTTATGATGATGCTCCCCGGAGCAGGTAGGCCTCGCTCCCCACCTCCCTCTGGAAGGGGGAAGTCTGGAGCCGCTGTGCAAGGAGGGGGACCCATCGCCCAGGACCCTCTGATTAAGCCCCTCTCTCTTCACCCAGACAGAGAAGCCTCTGCAAGAGAAGGCAGGACTCCTGCCTCACCCCCCCCCCCGCCACACCTACACACACACACGCCCCTTTTGCAACCCCAGGGCAAGGAGGGAGAGGGCTGCTGGGCAGACTCATGGCCTGAAAGACCCCGGAGGGCCCCTTGAGCCGGATGGAGGGCCCAGGGAGAAGGGGGCAGGGGGGGGGGGTGCCCTCAGGGCGGAAGGGGCTGCCAAGGGACCCCACTCAGCCTCTCCGGAGGAGCCGGTTCCTCCCAAAGGTTTCCCGTGATTTGCAAGGGAGGAACCGCGGGGGCCACCTCTGCCAAAGGGACCGGGATGGAGGCGGCTACCAGAAGGCAGAATTGGAAACTTTCCGTGGCATGAAGGGAAAGATGGAAGGCACGAAATCCGAGCTGGGCAAACCTCTCGGGCAGACCCTCCAACGCCCCTGAGGAATGGGGGCACCAGATTGGGCGCTGTCCAAATCCGGATGCCAAGGCAGAGAAGGGAATGCCCGCTCTGGCTCTGAAAGCAGCCCAGCAGTTCTGCCCATCTCTGGGTGAGGGATAGGGTCGGCGAAGCTCCCAGGCAAAATGGCGGGAACTGAGTTCAAGTCCCACCCGAGGCCCAACAGCCAGGGGCCGGCCCCTCCCTCTCAGTCCAATTCCTGGCCCAGCCGAGGGATCCCACTCTGAACAAAGCAGGCCCTGTCCTGGCAGGGAAGGTGCCAGGAAGGGGGGGGGGGGAAACCAGTTTGCCCTGTATGAGGATTGTTTGCTTCACTTTCTTTTGATTCACTCTGAGGGAGCAAACTCTCTGTCAGCCGCCTTGGGCTTTTGCCAAAGTAAGAAGCGCGACTGTGCGGAAGGGAGCCCTGTTTTTCCGCCTCAATCCGTGGGGGCCAAGAGAGGGGGGCCCTGGTTGAAGCGGAGGCTCTTGGAGAGGTTAAGGGCTACAAGCTGCAAATCCCAGGAATCTGGCTGGCTGGCCGCTTTGGGGGAAACTGGGCAGGTCCTCATCCATCTCCCTGGGATCACCTCAAAGGGCCCTTTCAGCAGGGCAGCTGAGCTGGGGGCTCCCCCCCCCCCGTGAAGACCATGGGGTCATCAGCCGATGAAGTGGGAGCTCTTGCAGGTTGCAGCTCCCTCGTGGGGAGCGGGGGGGG